TTTTTGATTTTACGAATTCATATAGTGTCCAGTAATGTCTTATGTGATCAGATATGTTGGTAAGGAAGCTACATATGCTATTATTTTTGCAGCATGTTTTCAGATCTTAAACCAGACTCTATCTATTTATCTGGCTACAAGGTACATATAAAAGTATCTTGTCTGTCTGTTTGGTTCTATGACTATGTATGTCTTTGTTCTCTGATCTCTCTCTCTACCTCTCTTCCTCACTATTCATATATATATAGCTCTTGCTATATATATATGTCTGTCTATCTGCCTGCATATTTGGTTATCTGTCTGCATGTATATCTATCTATTTACTTATCTATTTCTCTCTTTATCTCTCTCTCTCTCTCTCTCTCTCTCTCTCTCTCTCTCTCTCTCTCTCTCTCTCTCTCTCTCTCTCTCTCTCCTCTCTCTCTCTCTCTCTCTCCCCCCCTCCCCCCCTCTCTCTCTCACTGTCTATCATCTTTTTTATCCATCCACCTATCTACAATTCATTTTCTTCCATCAGACAAAACTCTGGTGCACGAATGGGCCAAGCTGAGATGGGGGGTGTTTGACGAGATCGGATACCCTCACGACCCGACCTTCCCACTCTTCTACTGGAACACACAAATAACAGCTGACGGCATAGAGGATGTGGTTATTCCGAACTACTGCGCCAACGAGAACTTAGTTGAAGTGTGTATACATCTCATTGTGTGTTGTGTGTGTGTGTGTGTGTGTGTGTGTGTGTGTGTGGTGTGTGTGTGTGTGTGTGTGTGTGTGTGTGTGTGTGTGTGTGTGTGTGTGTGTGTGTGTGTGTGTGTGTGTGTGTGGTGTGTGTGTGTGTGTGTGTGTGTGTGTGTGTGTGCGTGTGCGTGTATACATGTTCATTTCTAGCGTGTGGAAGAAAATAAAGATAAATTAAACAGTTATAGTAAGGGAAGTCAGGTTATACTGCATAGATAGAGAGATAGATAGATAGATAGAGAGAGAAAGAAAGTGAGTTTGTGCTTCTGCAATACATCATATTGAAGTCAGCTGCCGTAATAATGTGTAATGACTGTGTGGGTACGTTTTTCCCCTTAAAAAAACGAAAAACAACTTTCTTAACAGAGGTGAAAAGGATAACAGTGATAAGATAAGCCAGGAGAACGGACCGATACGATTCGATATCCATGAACATATCAATGAAAACGACTTTGAATATTAATGAAATAGTGAATTCCTCTTCAACGATGTTACGTTAAACGCGTTTCGCTTGTCACCCTCAAAAGCTACACGAGCATTGCCTTCGCTAACAAATGTGAAAGAAAAAGTTCTTAACCTGCGTTCTCTTTTTTCTATCAGTGACGTCATTAAGAAGTTATGACGTCACCCACCCCAGCGTATTTCCGCGCCTACAGGAAACGCTCGCCTCGTGTATAATTTTATTTGAGTTTCAACGTAAACTCTTGTTTTGGCGTGTCAGTAGGGAGATTCCGTATGAAGATGGTCCAAAATACAAGGACTTAAGTACGAAGATACGAAGGAGAGAGAATGAAAAAAGTAGGAAGAGGATGGAAGAAGAATGAGATAAAGTAAAAAATGATAGGACTTGTTTTTGATACGCCGGTGCAGCAAGCTTACTGTCTTTCACGGCAAATGCGTTTTTTTGTAATGAAAACAAGTACTTTTTATCTCTGTCGGTAAATGTATCAGTCTGTCCTTGTCACCCCGTTAATACATCTATATACACGTATATGTATATATTTATGACATTTTCTGAGTACTGGAACTTAAGGAAACAGAATCTAGCCAGAATTCAGGGTGGATTTTGCTTGGGTTCAAATGTCTGCATCCGAATATGACTGATCTACATGATTATCTGGATAAAAAGACAATTTGTATTGGTTTTCAAATAGGTTTTTAGAAGGACACATCAAGCAAGCATATCCGCAAGCACCTGCAATAGCAACAAGCATTTAAATCTGGTATCATTTATTAGATTTTTTTGGTCAAAATAACCAGAATCCATAAAAAAACACCGAGAAGTGTGCAGTAAGCTAAAACAAGTTGATTTGATATGACAGGTCAAACTTATCCATGTTGACAAATGTAGAAAAGGTATGAATGAGACTGGATATCTTCACAATACAAGAGATGTATTTGACCGGTTTCGATTACGTCTTCATCAGAAATACATGTGATTCTGATGAAAGCGTCTCCGTTTTCCTTTTCTTCAACAGGGACATTGTCAGCCGAGGAGGATGCAGTTTCAAGAGCGGATTCCCCGACGAAAACTGTCGCTTCCTTCCGAGTGAAGATCAGGATGCCACGTCTTCACTTATGGCCTATTACTACCTCAATAGCGTGAGTCTCATAGGATGGTTAGTCTTTCCACTTGGTCGTGTGGCATGAGTCTGTCATCCCCCGTCTGATTTTGTTTTGTCGGTCTTGTTTTGTCGGTCTTTTATCTCTTTCCCCTCATATTCTCTCTCTCTCTCTCTTTCTGTCTCTCTCTCTCAATATC